CATTTTCTTGAACTGGGTATAAACATGTTTGTTTTTGGTTTTGCTTTTTTGCTCAAGGCTAGTGTTCTACCACTTTGAGCCACAGCTCCATTTCTAGCTTTTTTTTTTTTTTTTTTTGTAGTTAATTGGACATAAGAATCTCACCAACTTTCCTGTCTGGGCTGGCTTTGAACCTTGATCCTCAGATCTCAGCCTCTTGAGTAGCTAGGATTACAGGCATGAGCCACTGACACTCAGTATGGCATGTTTGTTTTCATGTATTTATTTCTGGCAGTATTGGGGTCTGAACTCAGGGCCTGGTGATTGCCAGGCAGGTACTCTATCACTTGAATTACACCTTCAGCCCAACCGTTTCATTTTTATAATCAAAATAACTAGGACTCAGTAGTTAAAGGACTTGTTCACAATCATCCAGCTGGGAAAAGGTGGAATTTGACTACATATCACCCTGTCAGCCTTGCGAGGACTACTAGTAGAGGCTACTCTCAAGAGACCAGAAGGCCTTCTTTGTACTCAAACACAGTGCCTCCTGGAGGCCACTGGACACAGGTTATCCTGTCCTGACCCACACAGCCGATGGTCACCACACCATCCTTGTAGCGTTCCCTAGTTGGGCCAGTGGGCTCCATTGCTGAGTCAGTCTGCTGTTCCACCAGGACTGCAGGCCCATCTTCTTCCTCCTCCTCCTCCCCAGAGCCATTGCCCCAGGTGGCCCCAGCCACATCCCGAGCAATCTTCTCCCGCCAGCTGCTCAAGTCCACTGCTCAGACAAAGAAATAAAAGAGGTCCCACTAAAGTCACTGCGGAGGGTGGGACGAACTGTGCCCTGCACAGCTGACGTCACTAGCATCCTCTGGAATCATAGAGTGCCAACCTGTACAACTTCAAGCCAGAGAATCCCAGCCTTCATTTGACCCCACTCTGGAATCATGTGCATTTTGGTCTGAGTTTCTAAAGAGTTCATGGAAGATGTAAGGTAACAAAGCCCATGTGGCTCCTGCTTACCTTGTGCCTGTCTGCTCCTTATTTCATCCCTCTGCATATCTATAATAGACACTGACTTCCAGAAAGATGAGCAAAATGACTCCAAGCCTCAGGTCTCGCCTGTGAGCTCCCACCTCCCCCCACTCCCCACTCCAACAAGCACATACCTTTTCCCACAGTGATGGCTTCACAGGCTCTCAGCAATTGCTCTGGCCCCAAGGCTCGAGTCCATCCTCTTCCCCGCCTCCGACTCTTCTTCAAGACTGAGATGAGATGGCACCAGAGGATTAGGAAATGGGCTTCTACAGCCCATCTCTCCCACCACCTTTGGGCCCAAGATCAAGTTACCCCTCGCCAGTAAGCTTCTCTGCTCTTCCCTTTGTCCCCTGCCACCCGTTTCTTCCATGATATATTCCCCCTTGCCCACTCACCACTACTAGGCTCTTGTGGAGTTCGAGGGTCCCGAGGGAAAGAAGTGAAAAGGACGATGTGGAGCTGGGGATAGTGTTGGTGGAAATAATGCTTCCAGGCAACCACGAGAGCTGGTGGGGCCAGATCCATCTTGTTCAAGACCAGCACCAAGGCCAACCCAAGTTCTCCAGTCACATACTCATAAAGTGCTGGTGGGAAATTCACAACCTAGGACAAAGTAGTTAAGGGAATAGGGTGAAGAGAGGTCCACTCAGAGATCTCTGCCTCCAGCTCCCCACTCACAAGGCACAGCTCCCAGACAAGACCCTGGCAGTAGCAGATTCTGGAGTAAAAACAGTAAACCAGCCAAACTGAACAAAAAAGACAAAGCAGGGGTTAGTAATACCTGTGCAAGTCTCATGGAGCTTCCTAGAGGTCATGATTAAATATAAAAATCAATGAGAGATATGAAAAGAAAATAGCAACACCTAGCATATTGAGATAAGGGCTAGGATCAAAACAGGAATGGAGGTTGAGGTAGAAAGTAATACCTGTTTTTGTGTGCAAAAATCTGTACAAGTGGGTAGACATGCATAAAAGCATGCATGCAGGTATGTGCACATGTGATGTGCTCAGTATGAATGACTGTGAACATGAGTGTGTGAATGTGCTTGTGTATATGGATGTACACATGCACATGTGTATTTGTATGTGCGTGTAGGTTCATTTAGAAACTCCAACCTAAAATGTCCTCCACAGACCTTCCTCTTTCTACTGAAGGACAACAGTGAAGTGGCAGAGTCAGGATTCACAGCAGCAGTCTATGGCCTTAACCACTACCCTACATTCCAAGTGGATTCTGTTGCAATTGATGTGGCCGCACTAGAGAAATGAGATAAGGAAGAAAGGGCATCTTTGGGATGGGCAGGGGAAGTCCCCAGCTGCCTCCACAGAATCCCTGGAATTTTCTGTTGGTCTAGGTCTGGTAGGATAGAAGACAGGACATGCAGTTTTTCATCAAGGGAAGTACAAAAGAAAGTCATCGGGACAGGGGAGAAGTGAAAGGATATGACAAGAGATGAATAAAAAACTGAATTCCGGGCTGGGAAGGTGGCTCAGTGATAGAGCGCTTGCCTTGCATGCATGAGGCCCTGGGTTCAATTCCTCAGCACCACATAAGCAAAAAGAAAAAAGCCGGAAGTGGCGCTGTGGCTCAAGTGGTACAGCGCTAGCCTTGAGCTGAAGAGCTGAGGGACAGCGCCCAGGCCCAGAGTTCAGGCTCCACAACCGGACCCAAAAAAACAAACAAAAAAAAAAAAGTTAAGGATAGCACCCAGGCCAATTTCAAGCTCCAGTACTGGGACAAAAACAAAAACAAAACAACAAAAACAAAATGAGCACTTTGGAAGTAGAGTTGTGGCTTAAGTGGTAGAATGCCAGCCTTGAGTGGAAAAAGGTAACTGAAAGCATGAATTTAAACCCTGGTACCGGCACAAAACACCTGGGGTTGAGTGGGACTAAATTCCCCATTGTAGACATTAGAGGGAGCTGGAAAAACAAAGGAGGCCCCAGTTTTGCAGGAAGCAGAGATAAGAAGATCACGGACTGAGGCCAGCCTGGGCAAAAACAGTGAGACCATATCTCAAAAAACAAGCTGGGGCTAATAATGAGAGAGGTATATGTAGAAGGATCTCAGTCTAAGGCTGACCCAAGACAAAAAATACAAAATCTTATCCGAAACTAAAGCAGAAAGGCTTAGGATGTGGCTTATGTGGTAAAGCACTTGCCTAGCAAGCACCAAGCTGAGTACAAATCCCAGTACTGAAAGAAAACACAAAAATGAATAGGAAAAGGTACCTCTCCATGTTCTGATTCCCGCCGCTCACCTTCCCCTACAAGAACTTTCCTCCCTCTTCCCCTTTGCCCACTCTCAAACCAAGTACTCACTGGATGCCGGATATCAGTGATGAGCAGGACAATGTCAGACATCTCTAACACCCGCCACAGCTGCCTCCATGTCTAAAAAGACAAGACCAATGGAAGAGAACCTAACCCAGAGTCCTGTCCAAACTGACCCCAGACCAATTTTCCCAGGGTCATAATGCCCCAACTGCTGGACCCCACTCCACTGTCACCTCCAGGTTGTGTTCAAAGTAGCTGAGCTTCTCAGAAGTGTAAGCTCCATGTATCTTCCCAAGATATTCCTGGAAGCTCCGTTCCTCTTGGCTCATTAGTTGGTCCTTGGACATCTCATAGTTCCAAGGAGGACGTCGGGGAAAGTCCAAGACTAGGAAATCAGGAAAAAGTCCAAGCAGATATGAGACAGCTCTTACCCTTCCCCAAGAGCACTGCTGATGAGAAACATCCAGATGCCTTGCTCTCACTTACCTGAGCCTGGCTGATAGACTTCTCGGATATCCAGCTCCAGCACTTCCGCACTGACAGGAGTTAGTACTTGTTCTCTGGCTGCTCTCTTTCTTCTCTCCACCTCTTCCCGACTGTCCCGTTCAAAATGCAGCCGGTACCTAAAAGAACAGGGACCACACATCCAGACACACACTCCCAGTTTTCTCCCTTGTCGGGCAACTTTATAAACCTTCCAATCTCAACCTGTTCAAGTCTCTTTCAGTAGGCCTAACACACCGCCTCCCCCCCACTACCCACTACTCTGTCTGTCAAGAAAGATCCTTTCAACCACTTTTAAAAGCAAAACTCTGCAGCCCCTCTAGAAGGGAGGATTATAGGCTGCTCCAGAAAGAACCCCACTGTCTCCTCTTTCGAGTCTCCAGTAGAAGCAGTAGCAGTAGTAGTAGCAGTAATAGTAGCAGAAGCAGCTACCTTTACTGCCCACACTCCGATCTCCAGGTGGGCGCCCCATTCCCTCCCTCACCGATTTGGATCGTAGCCTCTCGACCCCAGGCCCTGGGAAGGCTGCTGGTTGAGCCTACGGATGTGATGGGTCACAGATTCCGCGTCCGAGGTGTCGGTCTGCTCCTCCCGCCGCTCCCGGCTCCCGCTGCGGCTGTTGGAACTGGAGCGTAGCCCATCTTGAAGCCCTGCGGGGAGGGGCCGGTGACGCCAGTGCTGGCCCACTCTTCAGGGACTGAAGGACCCCCAACCCGGCCAGCCAGGTCTCCAGCCTACCCAACTTCTCTTGGGCCTCAGACCTCCCAGCACCCTTCCCGGGCGGACCCTCCCGGGATGTTGGGGAGGGGGGGTAGTCACTCCGCCGGGGAACTTGGAGGATGGCGCCCCGTTGGAGCTAGGAGGGACCCCCCTCCCCCAACTCCTTCCCCACTCCTTCCCGAGGTGCAGGGGACTGGAGTCGGGGAATCCCCTCTGCGGTCTCCCACGCAGATCCTCACGGGCCTACCACCCCTCCCACGCCCCCCCCCCTTCCAGAGGTGCGGCGAGCACACCCTTCCTTCCAGAGGTGCGGGAGCCCGGGCCCCGCCCCCTCCTCCCACACTGACCTGGCTTCCTCTCCTGCTCCCACTTATCCTGCAACTGCTTCTTCTTCTGCTTCACGCTGAAGAGCTTCTTCCTTGGCATGGCCTGGACCAGTCAACCGGGCCTGCCCTCCGCCGAGCTCCCGCCGCCTGGAATTGTCATTGGCGTGGGCATCTTTGCAGTTCTGGTTGTTGTAGCTGTGCTGGTTTTTGTGCTGTGCAGGAAGTGGACTGGAGGTAGGAAGGTGGGGATCTGAGTTCCTGGGCTACTTGTGGGTTTCAGCCCCCAGGCAGAAGTGTGAGCTGCACTCCTAATGGGCAGTTGCAGCACACTCAGGGCCTTCCCCAGCCTGACAGCTCCTGTAAATCACCTGCAAAACGAAGGACACAAAATTCCCCCTCCTGAGGGTGGTGATGGGAACTGATTGCAGCACTCAGGCCCACAGGGACTCAGCTGCCCACTGAGCTCACACTCCAGGAGGTCCTGGGGTCTCTCTTCCCAACTGTTGCACTCCTCTCTCCTGATGCTTCCTTGGTTCTATGGTCACATTTCTAGAAATTTCCCTTGAGGTCACGGCTAGGGGTTCATCCAGGCCCTCATGGCACTGCTTGTGTCCTGCCTCTCACATGGTGTTTCTCCATACAGGTGACAAGAGAGAAGGCTATGATAAGGCTGCAAGTGAGTGCCATGGGGGAGGAGGTGACCTTTGTTGTGGTGCAGACAGGACCTGTGGGAGCTCATGCACCCCGGAATTCCTCCAGTGACGCCTGTGTTCTCTAACCAGCTCCTCTCTTCCACCACAGGAGACGACAGTGACCAGGGTTCTGATGCTTCCCTCAGAGCTGAAAAAGGTGACAACTGGAGACCCTAAATGGGGGGCAGGGCTGAGGCCCAGGGAAGGCTGTGTTGTAGTTGCAGGGTCTGTGCATTGGGGGTTAGTGGCCTGCTCAGAGTGTGTCGCTAACAGTGACTGATCTGCATTGTTGTGCTTGTTCTTTTCTCCTGCAGTGTGACACAGCTGCTTTGTGTGGTCTGAGAGGCACAGCATTTGTTCCTGTCTCTCCTCCTCCTTCCTGGGACATCATGAGCTCCTGACTTCTCTTCCTGTACCTGGGTTCTGACCGTGTCCAGGCTTCTGTGTGCTGTCAGCCTCCTGTGAGGAACTGAGGAGCCAGCCCAGCCCTGAGCACCAGGACCCTCCCCACACTGACCTGGGTCTCTTTCCCCTCCAGCTGCTGCTCCAGCAGAGGCGGGGCCAGGGCTTCCCCAACCCTGACTTCACTTTCCCTTGCTCTGAGCTGCAGCTGCTGCTTCCCCACTGATAAAGAGAATGTGAATGTGGGTCTGTGTTTCAAATTGTGATCATGGAAAAAGGTTGAATAAATCAATGAATGAGTCCCAAAATTGAGATAGAAAATCAAACATGATTAAATTCCAGAATTGTCATGTTTGCTGAGCTGTGTTGTGGGCGGGGCCAGGGTTAGGCTGAGAACAGGCAGGTGTGGATAGGAGCTCAGTGCATTCTGGACTGTCATGTATTCAGTCCTCACCTGGGTTGTCTTCCCTGCTCCTCAGTTGTGTTGTTTGCCTAGAACCTTCTCCATGAGCACCTATGACCAGAGGGGCTTTTCCTTTGTCTAGGACACAGCACAGACTGTGCAGGTGAGACTAGGCTCAGGCCTGAGTCCTCTACTAAGGCACCATCAGTTCTTCTCCATACTTATGTCCCTTCTTGTCATCCTGCATGAGCTGGTGTCTTGTTGGCCTTTGGGTGTCCTGTGACAGCAGCTGGGGGTGTGTTCCTGTCACTGCCTCCCAAAGCACCAGGCAGCCTTGCACAGGGTGTGTGTGGTGAGGAGAAAGGCAATGTGAGGCAGCTTGCTTTCCTTCTAGCACTGCTGCCTCCAGTGTGGGTCTGTGCTGTCCCCAGTGCCCTCAAGGGAGCCACCTGTGGGAAGAGCAGAGAGGAGGGATGTCAGGTTTCTCCTGTGAGCTCCCTTCCTGATCCTCTGCATCTTCTCTGCCCACCTTCCCTCCACCTGCCCTCAGCTCTGGTTAATCCCAGCTCTGCTCCCACCCAAATTCCTGGATTGAAGAGCAGAGTCAAGAAGGAATTTTAGTCCCCATCTTGATTGGCTGAGAGGATCTGCAAGTTAGTGGAGTTCATGTCCACATGTGTGTGTCAGGGCATTTCAAGGAGAATGGGTCATGAGAGCTCTGACTTAGGGAGAGTGTCATCAGGTGGAAAATTGAAAACCTGAAGACAGTTCTGGAAGCTGGTGGACTGTGGTAGTTGGACTCCACTGTGTGTGGGTTCCTTGGGGATTGTGTTTCTCTGCACCCTGTTACTGCCCTGCTCTGCCTTCTGCTGCCACGAGAGGCGCTGTGCTTCCTGCTGTGCCCTGCCTTCCCTCTAAGGCTGACTTGGTCCTTTCAACCCTGACCAAAACACTCCCTTCTGCTCAGCTTCAATCTCAAAAACAAATTAACACAGGAATCTCCTGCCAGACAGCAGGGCCTGTGCTCTGACTACTTAACAATGTGGTTCTTAGGCCTTTGGCTTGGTCTGCAGATTGAATTTGTAATCGCTCAGAAAGTCAAAGGAGGTCAGAACTGTCATGGTTGTGGACATGTGTGCTAGCAGAAGAGACAGGTGGCAGGGTGTGTAAGAGAGCAAGGAAGGACCATGACATGCAGGAGGAAGGCAGTGCTACAGGTCAGGTGACATGGTGTGGGCGTGGGGACAGAGCTGACTGTGGTACTAGGTGTTCATCATGACCTGGGAGGGAACTTTTCTGAGTTGTGAAATTCGCCAGAAGATATCTAGAGAAAGTGTTGGTAAACTGGAAGATCTCCTTGTACAAAGTCCTTATCTCAGGCTGGGAAGGTGGCTCAGTGGTAGAGCGCTTGCCTCGCATGCCTGAGGCCCTGGGTTCGATTCCTCAGCACCACATAAGCAGAAAAAAAATGCTGGAAGTGGCGCTGTGGCTCAAGTGATAGAGCGCTAGCATTGAGCTGAAGAGCTGAGGGACAGCGCCCAGGCCCAGAGTTCAGGCCCCACGACTAGACCCAAAAACAAAACAAAAAAACAAAGTCCTTACCTCTTCTGTGGACTGCCCAGATCTGTTGCTGAGTTGAGCCTTTGAGAAGAGACCTGAAGACAAGATTCTCACTTGAGGGATTTTCCTTTGTGTGTATGTGCTAGTCTTGGGGCTTGAACTCATGGCTTGTGTGCTGTCTCTCAGCTTGTTCTTGGTCAAGGTTACTGTGCTGTTTGAGTCACAGATTCCCTTCCTGCTTTGGGAAATAAGAATTCCCCAGACTTTCCTATCAGTGCTGGTTTCAAGCCATGAATGGGAGAAGTCGGCCTCCTGAGTAGGTAGGAGTATAGCAGGATCCACACTACATGTCTTTAATAGTGATTTTCTTTTTGTGTCATTCCTTGGGGCTTGAACTCAGGGCTTGGGCACTCAAAGCTATTATCACTCAAAGTTAATACTATACCAATTTGAGCCACAACAGCACTTCTGGCATGAGCCACTTGCTCTCAGTTGAGATATATTTATTTATGTTCAGTTCTGGGGCTTGAACTAAGGGCCTGGGCACTGTCCCTGAGCTTCCTTTGTTCAAGACTAGAATTCCACCCGTTTAACCATACTGCCACTTCCAGCCTTTTCCATGTGGTTGGAGGAATCAAAGCCAGGGCTTCATGCATGTTGACAAGCATTCTACCACTAAGCCACATTTTCAATCTCTGATATATATATATATATATATATACATATATATATATATATATTTAAGTCAAAGAAGATGTTTAATGAAGAAGAAAAAATGGTAGACATATAAATGTCCCAGAGTATAGGTTTAATCTATCTGGACCTGTAGTTTCCAAATGTGACCACACGAGGGCGATATAAGTCCGGCCTTTTTTTTTTTTCTTTCTTTTTTTGTGTGGTCCTGGGGCCTGATTGCTGGGCCTGGGCACTGTCCCTCAGCTCTTCAGCTCAAGGCTAGCGCTCTACCTCTTCAGCCACAGCGCAACTTCCGTCTTTTTTTCTTTTTGCTTATGTGGTGCTGAGGATTCAAAACCAGGGCCTCATGCATACAAAGCAAGTGCTCTACCACTGAGCCAAGTCCAAGTCTTCCCAGACCCAAGTCCAGCTTTTTCATTGTTGGTTTTGTTTTTTTTTTTTAAGCAATGTAGCAACATATAAATAAGTGCTGAAACCTGGCTCTGGTGGATTATGGCCAGTATACTACACACTCAGGAGGCTGAGATCTAAGAATTGCTATTCAAAGCCAACCCAGGCAGAGAAGTCCATGAGACACATCTCCAATGGGCCATAAGAAAACCCAAGGAACTGCTGTGGCTCAAAGTTGTACAACACTAGCCTTGAGCAAAAGAGCTCTGAGTTCAAGACTCAGAATAGATGTAAAAAACACCCCAAAACCAAACAAACACAACCCCTCCCCCATAGTACTGAGTAGGCATGAAGATGTCAACTTTGGTACTTGGAAACCTTTGGGTAAATACAGCCCTTTGGAGGCACAGGCCTCTGTTGCTTTGTACATGGCTGGTATTACACTCAGTTTATCTCATGCATTAAAATCTGTGTTAAGTCTTTGGGTCTGTTGGCCTTATCCCAATTTGGAAGTATAAGGCTGCATTGTGCTTCCCAGAATATTCACACAGCAAGTAACAAATTCATGACCCCTCTTCACTTTTTCTCAGTAAGTGGTTTGGATGCCATTGTGGTCGATTCCAATTTATACTCTCAACAGGTGCAGTGGCACCGTGGGTAGTAAAATCATTATTTATAGCCTTTCTTGACATCTAATTTATGGATAGAACTAAAACATTCATGTCTGAGCTAAGTGCTGGTGGCTCACAGCACTAATTCTAGTCACCTAGGAGGCTGAGATTTGAAGATTGTAGTTTGGCATCAGCCTACATAGGGAAGTCCTGAAGACTTCCATCCCCAGTTAACCCCCCAAAAGCTGAAAGTGATCTTGTGAGTCAAGTGGTAGAGGACTAGCCTAGAGTAAAAAGGCTCAGGGACAGGCCCTGAGTTCAAGTCTCAGGATCAGCATACACACACACACACACACACACACACACACACACACACACACACACACACGGAGAATGTAATAAATCTCAAGCAGTTCAGAATGTACAAGAGTTCTCAGGGATGCTGAGAAGTGCAAGGAAAGGCAAGAGAAGAATCTGAGCAACTGGAAGGAGAGCTAGAAGCGCTTGGGGTTGTCATTTTCTCCACTTTGCAATGCAGACAACAGGGCTCCTTCCTTCCAGCAACTAACATTGATTAAGTGTCCTCTGCCTGCCAACCCCTGGGCTGTACTGCACAGAACACGGGGAACCTCTTCCCTCAAGGAGACCTCTCTGTCCACATCTAGCTGGGCCAGTGTCCAGGGACAGGCCTGCCACCTGCAGGCTGCTCCCTGCTCTGCTGCAGCCCTGTGCAGGTCAGGTTGTGGTTTATTCTCCCCTGGGAACCTATGAGCAGCTGTGGTCTCTTGGGCTCAGTGCACTCTCCTACTGTCTTCCTAGTTCTCACTATCCTGGCCACCTGACCCCATCAGCCCAAGTTTCTCTGGCTTTGCAAAGTCCTCTGTGATAGGTTGGAACTTCTGTTCTAGAAACATATTTGCAGTGTCACACACAAACTCGGGTAGCTACCCAGGAAAGGAATTTCCAAATGCTTGCCAGCTCTGGGTGAGTAATAAGTCTCAGCATTCCCAGAGTCAACCCGGAACTTGCACTTTTAGCATCATCAAACTCACAACACATTAGCATCATCCATTGCAGCAAAACACATTCTTCTGGAGCCAATATGGTGGAGCCTGCCTGTAATACCAGGTGGGAGAAGTATGATCAGAGGCCAGCATGAGCTGCACAGCAAGTTCAAGGCCAGTCTGAGCCACAATGCTGAGTAATTTAAAAACAAACGAACAAACAAATAACTATTTGTGGTTGAGTTGGGTCTTCACCTCAG